TACCTAGGCCCATGTAGCTTCATTACTAACTGCACTGACAGTTTTTAATTTTGTACCTACACACTGCACATTGATGCTGTGGAAAGACTTTCAGTTTACATAGTCAGCCTCATGCTCTCCCAAGGCTGTCATAATGGGAATGTGTGTGCAATCAATGGCACCGATTACTCTGGGTCTTTTTTTCTAGGATTCCCAAACATTATCTACAGCTACTGACAGACACAAAGATGAGCACGACCAGGAATAACTACCCGCAATCCGATAAAAACCTTCCTTTATATTTTGCACTGGCAAGTAGCCTGGAAACACTACAAACACATCTAGCAGCTCTTTCAGTCCAAGGTAAACCCTGTGTATAGCCCAACATAGTGTTCTTGCTTAGGTGCTCAGCATCCCCCACTGAGTACAAGTAAGAGCCAGTGGCGAAGTACCGCAACTCTATACAAACTGTTTGTGGCACTGTAAGTGTGTGGCTCCTGAGGGAGGAATTGCTTGCGTAAGATCAAGAAGTTTGCATATATAGATAATGCCCTCAGCTGAGAATCTATATCTTTCAAACAGTACATCATTGGGCAAAGCAAGCAAATTCAATCTGTCTCTAAATACTCTTGCGCTGCACAGTGATCCTCTTACAATGCAAGTGCCAATATCCACTGGGTCATCTAAGAAGGGTGACGCAATTTTTTTGGAAAGACAGAATTGCTTTAGAGGCAGGATTATATTCAATCTCTTGAGCTCGAATAATTTAACCTGCTCTGAGCAGGTTAGCTTCAGGGGATAAATTGCTATGGTGATACAACTCTCTTACAACTGAGCGACTTGTGACATGAATGAGTCTGAGTTAAACAACCAAGTAAGCTTTAACTTAGCTCGCTAACCCTGAAATCCTGCTTCGTAGTACACCCCCCAGGTCATGTCTGCCCTATGTATCCACAATCTCATTCTTTCGTTCATTACCCAAAGCTTGTGACCCTTTGGGATGTCGAGTGACTGGAAAACACAAAGCTTCGCCTTATGGCTTAGTTCCCTTTTCACTTATACAGTCCAGTACAGCGACCATATTACTGCTGCCATCTGTCCCAGCCTGTGGCCAATCTCAAGATGCCTCTTCCCATCACTCATGAACAAGGCCCCAAAATACTTAATCTCCTCCACCTGGGGCAGGTCCTTTCCCCTTACCTCAGCTGCAAACTGCTTCTGTGAGCAGTGGAGGTATTCTTGTGATGGAGCCAAAAGGACATCATTCACAAAAAGCAGAGATGCCACCTTCTGGCCTCCACACATAATGCTCTCCTGACCTCGACTACGCCCTGATACCCTGTCCATGAATATCACAAACAGGAGTGGAGAGAAGGCACAACCTTGGCGAGTCCAACACTTACATTGAACAAGCTTGACTTAATGGAGAGTATACGGATTAGAGTACAGAGACCAAGTGGCCCGGAGTAGTGGCCTCAGCACCCCATGCTCCAACAAATATCTTGGTGTACATGGTTGTAAGCCTTCTCCAAGTCCACGAAATACAAGTAGACAGGGTCGGTGAATTCCCATGCCCCCTTAAGAATCTGTGTGAGGGTGAAAAGCTAGTCCATCGTTCCTTGGCTGGGACAGAATTTGCATTGTTCCTCTACAATCCGCAATATCCACAGTATCATTCATAGTCTCCTTTCCAGCACTTTGACATAAACTTTTCCCAGGGAGGCTTAGTAGTGTGATACCCCGGTAACTGGCTCACACTTTCTGGTCCCCTTTTTTAAAAATAGCAACCACCACCCCGGTCTGCAAGTCCAAGGGTATTGTTCCTGAGGTCCTGGTGACATTGCAGAGGTGTGTCAGCCATGACAGCCCCACAACATCCAGAGCCTTAAGCATTTCTTGGTGAATCTCATCCACCCCTGGTGCAAGCAACCTCAGTGACCTCCACCAGGGAAATTGAATATGGTCTGGGTTTAGGAGTTCCTCAAAGTGCTCCTTCCACCAACTTATAATATCCTTTTGGAGTTGCTGGACAGTTGTCTGCTAGAAGCTAACCGAAAGTCTTTTTCCTTGGTTTCTCCGAGCTCCTCCCATGTTTTGGATTTTGCTTCAGCCATCACCACTGCTGCCACCTTTTTTGCCCATTGATTCCTATCTGCTGATTTGGGAGACTCAAAAAATATTTAAGCCCAAAAGGTTAAAACTTGTGTATTTTAATTACGTCAATTTTCCATACATACATACATACATACATACATACATCTAAACCGCTTATCCTTCTGGGTTGCGGTGGGGTGCTGGAGCCTATCCCAGCTGTCATTGGGCGGAAGGCAGGATACACCCCGGACAGGTCGCCAGTCCATCGCAGGGCTGTCAATTTTCCATTCAATTTAAATACATAAATCCAATGTAAAAAATGGTATTATAATTTATTTTTCTCCATCATGTTCAATAAACCTGAATGAATAAAATAATGTTTAAATTAGAAGTACTGGTAGGATTTATGCAATTCTTTTACATAAATGTTATGTATTTCTAAAGAGTTAATAGTACCTTCTGTATTCACAACACAATTACTTACACTGTGTAAATGTATTAAATGACAATACATGTTAATTCACAAACATTTGTTGTAGTACACACTGTGTTAAACAGGATTTGCTGAGGCTCATTACAAGACATGTAAACTTAAAGTCTAATGTGAAAGAAATAAACATACCTTTATATATTTCAGCTGTGATCAAATTCCCTGGTTTAGAATTTCTATTCACTTGCAACTTCACTACTAATTAAAGCAAATGTTTGTGCACAACATTCCTATTGAGGTGCAACTGTCATGCTAACCATCATGCAAGTTTGCTAGGTAACACTATCAGTCACTTCATACCATGCTAATATATCGAGGTCACCTACAATTCAAAAACCGTGAACTGTTGATTTGAATATACAATTCAATAATCACTTCATGTTTATTTATTCTACCTTTTGTACCCGTTAACATGACAGCAGACCTAGCAAGGATGCTAGCTAGCTAGCTAGTTTGCTGGTGTTGTCTAGAGTATCTCTCAAAATAATCAAAATGAAACATTAATATATGGTCAAAACATTAAAAACACAAATTAAAAAAGTTAATGCGCATCACTATTTCATAGCAGTTGCACTGCATAACAAACGATGGCAGGAGATAAAGAGCCACTTCATGTCCACCATGCCATCTGAAGCAATTTCCTGGTTGACGATGCTTTTCCTGTTACTATTGCACATGCACAATATATTCTTATTTTTTTAAAATAAGTTTTATGAAAAATATTTGCTTTATGTTTATGATGGCCATAAATTATTTTTTTAAAGCACCAGGGGGTTCTTGGGTTGCTGCCCTGTAAGGCACCAACAAACTTTTGGCCACAGCTATGCCTGACCACTTCCACAATGGAGGTTATGACAGGGTCCCTTCAGACTCTATGTCCCCTACCTCCTCCAGCACATGAGAAAAGTTCTCCTAGAGGTGTGAGTTAAAAATCATTCCAAGCAGGGGCCTTCGACAGTCGTTCCCAGCACACCCTCACTATTCGCTTGGGCCTACCGGGTCCAACCCTCAGTCTTTCCTGCCATCTGATCCAACTCACCACCAGATGGTGATCAGTTGACAGCTCAGCACCTCTCTTCACCCGAAGAGAACATTTGTGTCCAGAACATTTGGTCCCAAGTTAAATGAAATGACAGTTAATCATTGACCTTCGACCCAATGAACTCTGGTACCAAGTACACTTATGAATGTCCTTGTGCTCGAACTTGGTGTTCGTCATGGACAATCCATGACTAGCGCAGAAGTCCAATATCAACTCACCATTCGGGTTTAGATAAGGCAGGGCGTTCTTCCCGATCCTCCCCTCCAGGTTTCCCAGTTATTGCCAACATGAGCATTGAAGTCTCCCTGCAAGACTATTAAGTCTGTAGGTGAGACCATTTCCAGAAAATATAATAGCAGAATTGAATGTTATTTTTGTTATATTTTTTAGTTCATGCATTTTGCCATACCATGCTAAGCTGCTTGAATACTGGCTAAATCAGTTGAACCCAGACTTCCAGGTATGGGAGGCCAAATTGCTACTGGTTGAACCACCAGCCGTGGGCAGAGGTGGACAAAAACAAATTGAATAGTATAACTGAACAAAGTAAACGAAGAAACCTTAACTGAAACTATTCCAAAGAGAAGAAACTAAGAAACTCCCCACACTGGGATGGAACTGTGGCCTAGAGGGTCACTGGCCAGAGTAGAGCCAACTGAACTACACCACCATTCAAAAAGAACACCAGAAGTGGGGATAGCCAAAAGGCTCAAGAAAGGGAGGAGAAAAGGGAGGATAAGCTGAATCTGTTTCTTTTACTTTATTTCCCTTTGTCTTATTTTATTCAAGTTCTTCCTTTTTTTTTATCACTTACACAGTTGTTACAAGTGACTCGAGAGCAAGGCTTAAAGGGATCAGGAGCAAATGCAGAGACTTGGGAGCAATTGCCCAAATACTGGCTTGATCAAGAGATGCATGCAAACTCATGACTGAGCACAGAAAACACAAAGAACCACTCTTCAGTAGAGCCGAACACAGGTGTGACCAGTTATCTCTAATTACCTAGAGGTGGCTCTCTGCTCCCATCTAGTGGTGGAATTGGATCTGACCACAGGATGGGTGACAGGGCTCCTGCCAGTGGCATTATTTGCACATGTGCATACACATGTTGAAGAGTTTCATGGTGAGACTGTGGTAGGGTATCGTACACTTGGCAGTGGAGATGACAACAAAATATGTAATCACAGGTTTGTAACTAAATCATACTGTGCTGCACTGCCTGATGGAAAATCTCATGTTAGCCAATTCTGAGACACATCACCTGAGTTTCTATAGCTAAATTGGCCATGAAATTTGCCTGTTTTCTCTTCATTCATTACTAGAAAATGACAAGCACATCTTCTATTTTAAATGTTTTAATAGATGAAACTCGAGACTCTATGGCTGCTTGACATTTAACTACTACAGCAATTACTGCCACCTACTGGTGAGGAAAAATACCTGTCATTGTTTGCTGAGGAAACATTTGAAGAGTTTCATTCTGGAAGTTGCATATAACACATTTTAAAAGAATCACGGCTTACATATAATGGAAAACATTTTTATTATTAAATAACTGTATATTCAGCATAAAAAAGCTGGTATAAAGATCAATAAACACGTTGCTGTATAGAAAAGTACCACTTCAAAAAGTTAACACCACGAGTGAAAACTGCAGTTTCTGCCATTCACTCTGTTTTCATCTTTTTCTCACAGATCCCAACTACAGGGTGATCACAGGGATAATCAGCCCAGGTTGATACACGTTCAGATCCAGCACCACTATAGCCAGTTATAGCACAGTCCTCATTTCTGTCATAATCATTGGGCTCTCCCTCAAACCAGAACCTGAAAGAAGAATAATGAATGTCTTCACTATTTCACATCTAGACCTTCACAGAATGGGAAATATGAACCATAAGCAGAGCTCAGTTCAGTGGTCTTTTACTCAGTGGTCAGTTCTGAGCCGTCCACCCATTTCCAGACCCCCTCTGTGTCACTGTCTGTCAGACCAATCCAAGCTTCAGTGCTGCCAAATTCTTTACTGATAAACTCCTGTGAATGTTGTAGCAAAGAATAATGAACAATGGTTTATTCTCTCCCACTCACTCATTCCATTTCTCTCTCTCTCTCACCTGTTCTTCTCTGCTGTTTATGATCAGCAGTTCTGCTCCTCTCTCTCTGCAGAACTGTCTGCTCTCACTCCAGATCTTCTTCTCAGTAGAGATGTAGTAAAGACTGGAGCTGTAGTAGATCCAGCCTTTTTTAGAGTATAAACATTAGATGAACATAATAGTGAACACGAATTTATGATAAACTACTGATTCATTCATGATCTTTCACAGATGATTCATTCTCTACTTTTTCCATGACAGCTTTATCATTCAGTCTTTCTCGTCTTAAAACAGCTCATCAGCACTGTTAGAGGAGATAAATTACTAATTAGAATGGTTTGGGCCTGATGGGCTTCTGTTCTGCTGGTGTGATTCTTGTTCATATTTTTAGATGCAAAAAATAAGTAATTGAACTGACTTGTAACCACATGTGGATAGTTTTGAAAGGATAGTGAAATGTTATTTAATCATTTACATACTCAAAAATACAAGATGACCACATTACCAAATAAATCTGTCAAAAAAAATATGAAACAGCTGCCAACTTTGAAAATGCCAAAGACACAAATTGTGCAGATTAGTATTAGTGTGTTTGTTGTTTATTGTACCTGTCATAAATAAAAATGTTTTTTGTTTATGACAGGTACAAATATGGGTAATATGTCTATGGGAGACAAAAAGAATAGTGCTTTTGTGATACACTATGTCAGATTCAAACCACTGAACTATGTAATGGTGATATTAGGAGATAGGAAAACAGGTGGAGAAACCGCTTCAAGATACGGTGGGAAGATAATGGTGGGAAAGGGCAAACAAAGAAGATGCCAAGAAGCAGCATGTTCACAGAACAGAGACTATAAAAATCAAAGATCAGAGCACTGTGATTTAATGACAGATCAGAGCTTCCTGTCTGTTCTGCTCAGCTGTTTCTTGTGTTACTTTCAGGTCTCTTTTACTTTCAACTGATTTCCTCTTTTCTTTGTCCTCAAAAGGCTTTTTTCCCCTTTTTTCTTTTCATCGTTTTTCTTTGCTCAAATACAAACCTCCGTCTAATGTACTGTACCATTCAACCCTCTACAAAGGTGTGACAGTGAAGTGTTGCTGGTGTGGGCTTTTAAGCTGAGCCCAGCAGGTGTGCCTGGACAGTGCTGATTAGCGCTAGGGATTCTGGGACTTGGAGTTAGCCTAAAAACCTGTCTGTTTCGCCAAGCTTTTGGTAATTAGCTTTTCCTGTTAGTTAAAGGGTGCAGATTTTGGGGCTTCATTGACATAGTGCACTACGGTGACTAGGAGTGCCTGGTGCTCTCACACCTTCACTGTAATAGTAACACTGTTGAACTCAGCCTGCCAGGGTCTCTGTTTCACTCTTAACACTGTATACTGTAATCAGTCTGTCTTAACAGAACTAACTGCCTGTGTGTCTCTCTGCCGAGCTGAACAGCTGCCCCTTCTGTGTGATCTGATGCTGTTGCTTCTTCTGCCTTTATTGGGTGCCCACTGCTCGCCTGTTTCCCAGACCAGTCTGACCATCATGGAGCTTCCTCCTGTACAACGCTGTGCAAACCTCACCTGCATGAACTGACCCTCCTGATGCTGCTGCTGCTGCTGCATTTTTTCTAATCACAGACATCACTACTCCTGCTTTTCCTTTCTTTCCGTATCTTATATTAACAGTCAAATCTCATTTGCTGCTCTTATTGACTGCTATCCGGAGTCGACCAGAAGAGGATGGGTTCCCCTTTTGAGTCTTGGTTCCTCTCAAGGTTTTCTTCCTTTTGCTCTTAGGGAGTTTTTCCTTGCCACCGTCACCATTGGCGACGCTCACTGGGGGCTAAAACCTGATTTTTTTTCTGTAAAGCTGCTTTGTGACAACACCTGTTGTAAAAAGTGCTATATAAATATTTGACTTGATTTGAGTTCCTTGACTCAGATCCACCAGCTCTTCCACTGCTCCGCCGTGGCCCCCTGCTGGTGACCAGTGGCACAGAGTGACCCCTTATTAAATTGTTTTGAAGGATTTTTTTGCCACACGTATGTTACAGAAGTCTTCAGCTGTGTAACCATATGGGACCTTCATTGTTGTAATTTGCACATTTTCAGTAAGAGACAGTTCTGTACTGCAGGCAGGCCAGTCTAGCATCTGCACTCTCTGATTGAACACTGTTTGCTGCAGTCGTTGATCACTGCTGTAACATGCAGAAAGTGGCTTGGTGTTGTCATGTTGAAATATGCATGGACATCCCTGAAAAAGACATTGCCTAAAAGGCAGCATATGTTGCTCCAAAATGTGTTCAGCATTATTGATGCCCTTACAGATGTAATTTACCACCTAATAGCCCCACCACCCCCGTTACCATAACAAACCATTACGCTGGTAACAATCTGGATGGTCCTTTTCTTCTGAAAGGTTGACTTGTCAGATGACATTTCAAATGGGATTGAGCCCAGAGACGTCTGTAGCATTTCTGGACATATGCCTTTTACTGCAATGAACAGTGTATATTAACAATAATTTGTCACAATATTCCCACACAGTGATAACCATAAGAAAAGAATGCTGATATTTAACGCAGGGCCATCTGAGGGGTCAAAGGTCACGGGCATTCCGTTGCAGTTTTTGGCCTTGCCCTACACATTCACATTTCTCCAGATTCCCTGAATCTTTTGAGGATATTATGCACTGTTAAGAGTGAAATAAATAACAGCCTAGTAACCCCTAGATAAGGATCATTCTTTTTAAACTGTTGAAGTTTTTGCTGATGGCTTCAACACATCCTTGATCATAAAGGACTAGTCCTTTCCTGGATGCTCCTTTCATACCCAACCATGATTGCTTCACCTGTTCCAGACATAGTTTGAACATGTTCCTAGTCTTATGTTGCTCCTGTTCCAGTTTTTTTGGAATGTGTTAAGCATTACAGGCATTCACATAACATACTGTTTTGTTCAAATAGAGGTCTTAAGAGTAGATTTCCAAATCAGTGTTCCCTGTTTTCATTAGCATTTCAAAATACTGCTTCAACTTTTTTGGAACTGGGTTTGTACCTGTCCAAGCCTAAACTAAAACTGATGGTGTTATGTACAAAGTTTTGAGGCCGTTTGAAGAGATTATACAATGATGGTCTTTGAACTCCACAGATGTTCACTTACCTAGTTTCAGAAGCAGTTCCTGGATTCCATCTCTTTCCTTTTGTAACTGGTCTCTCTCTGTACTCAGCTTGGTGTAACTGGCTTGTAACTGGTCTCTCTCTATAGTCACATTACTGAACATGACCCACAGCACTGTGATGGCAGTCATCAGGAGAACACACGGCAGCTCTAGACACACTGCAGCCAGTCTGCTCCCCGTTTTCACAAACCCTATAAAAAGAAAGCAGCAATGCTGAAGTATCACAGTATGCGTATAACTGTTCACACCTCACACTAGACATGTCCAGTCTTAGCCATGAAGGGTCAGCATGACTGCAGGTTTTCATTCCAACAAAGCACGAACACATGAGATCAACTGTTTGAAGACTGAGACCAGCTGATTTTAGAAAAGTAGAAAAAGTTATGCTCCTGCTCGTCTGGAAGGAATCCATTAAAACCCAGCACTAAACCATTAGAATTAGTTAGAATTAGCATGTGTGGGTGTACAGATGTGAGAGAACATGAACATACACACCTGAGCCCTGCCGTTCCTGGTTCGTTTTTGCCATTTGAGACCCTATTTGATCTCCTTTGAAGTTTTCAGTTATCCTGCTCTTGGTGTGCAGATCAGCTCTGTCAGATGTCCCAGCTCTAATACACTAAAATCTTCAGTTTGGGCACTGTGTGTGTGTGTGTGCACTTTTCCACTTTGACTCTCTAGACAGGAAGCTGAGGAGGAAGTAATGAAAGGATTTGTGCTGTTGAGTTTCTGCAGGGAAAGTACTGTGACAATTTTCACATGATTGAGATTATGTCATCTCTCTTTTTTCTTTCTATATATGTTTATCTTTTTTGCTTTGCATTGCAAAATTTTGCTTTATTTCCCTTTTTCCAACCTCAGTTGCCTGCTTCCCCTTTCCTTGTTTTGCCTGCTTCTTTTATGTTGCACTCTTAAAAATAACGGGGCCATAAAGTGTTTTTGTACTTACAGATTGAGATTTCTTAGATTGAGATTTACATGATATAGACCAGCCCACCTCAAAGACTTAACTGTATTTCTCCTAAACCAGACACACACACACACACACACACACACACACACACACACAGCATTGCCTTCCTTCGTGCAAAATATTTTCTTAAATCTGTGCATTTTCATCTTCATTTTTATGTTTCAAATCTTACTCACCTGCTCGGATATGTCCTCATCCTCCTTAAGTAATATTTTAATTTTTGCCTTCAACTTTGGCAGTTCTTCATGCTGCTGTCCAACTTGACAAGATTCACACATGAAAACTGCTACATTGGTGATACAAAAAAAAATAATAATAATGAACTTTGTAGAGCACTACCTGTCATGTCAGCCAGGACCAGATTCACACCACTGCACTGAATTTGATACGCCAATCTCTTGAGGCTGATGTTAGCTTCTTTTTTGAATTTATGTTCTACTTTCAGAAAGTGCTGCAATTATTTGTCAGCGTCCATCCAGGCATCTCAATGTACCTGCTACGTAATTTAAAGCGGAACGGGAAATGAGAATAAAAAGCTAACTTCAGCTTCTATCTACTGTACAAAACTCCTTTATCAGCAGCAAACTGGGGCTACAAATTATAACAGGTATACACTTGGATGTAATGCTTACAGTTTGAGCTTTCTTGTGCCTGATTTGCCACTCTGGCATTGACTGTACAGTGGAGGATGAGAACTACCCTCTTTTGCTTGGCTTTATTGTTTTGGAGCATCTGCCATCTGCTATTCAGCCTCAGACTATGATGGGAAAAACTACCCAGACAGCGAGCATATAATCGGTCTGCTGTTTGCCACTACTGGTCCACCCTCGGACCACACAGATTACTGTCCTGCATACAAGCTCTAACTAGTTTTTAATCTCCTCAAACAGATTTTAAATGCACACAGACTTTTATTTTGGAAAATAAAACTTAGACAAATATTACAAACAACTGAGAGGAAAAAAAATTATGACTAGGTCTAATGTAAAATGATTTTATTGAAAGTGTTGTTGCCGACACTGTGCTAGATTACAATCATTTACTAAACTAATGTACAAAAGTACAACTAAAGAAAGAGGGGAAGGAAAAATAACTACATTGGACTGTGATTGTAAAATGAGCAGTGATAAGTGGAATTTTGTCTATTACTCTGCTTAACCACCGGTGGGCCGCCCAGAAAATGCTGAGTAAAACGCCAGTGGACCACCAGCTTTGCCATCAGAGGGCCGACTGTGGTCCACTATACTCTTGCTATCAGGGTAGATACTCCAGTTTAATGAACATTCTCACTTTTATAATTACCTTCATGACTGCATAAACGTCTAAATGTCTGTTACAGGAAGTTTTAATCCTGCTTTACACTACTCTGCAACTACTTAAGTCCCACTTGGTAGGCAGTTTTCTGACACTTGATATTCCAATTTGGATGCTTTTAAACTCACCTTGTCTTTATGACGGACATTAAAATTCATAAGTATTAAACTCAGCATGCACCTCCATTAGATTAACAGTCCTTAAAGCTTTCAATCTCCCCATCATGGTACTATACATGCACCAACAGACTACATAGCAGAAACTGTCATTTACACCTTGACATCTTGCACCTGAATTTGCTTGCTTCTCCTGGCTTTGCCTACCTGTCTAAACCTCGAGTCAAAGGTAGAGGTGGGGGTTTAGCAGTAATATTCCATAAGAATTTAAATCTTCGGGCCATAGACTCCTACAAAAGATCTTCTTCTGAACATCTTGTATGTAAAAGGTCTGATTCCATTACTTTCTGTCCTAGTAATCTATCATTTTCCGCCTATGCAGACTAGTTTTCTACTGGATCTGTCTGAACTGCTTAGTGAAATAGGTGCTCTGTTGTACATTGTCATATTACATGGTGACCTTAATGTGCACACTGACAAAGCTTTAGTTACTAGTGCTGATTTTTGTCAGCTGCTTTGGATTCACACAGTATGTACACTTTCCCACACATGAGCATGGTCATACACGACCTAAACTGTATGACTGGATTTGATTGTTGTTCAGGGCACCCATGTTGGTATATCTGACCATTATTTTATTGAATTCACTTTAAATCTCTTAGAATCTTTAATCTAAGAAAACCATGGCAACTGAAATCTGAAATCTCTGGATCCTTTTTCTGATTCACTTCTCTCTGGCATCTCTTCTCTGTCCTGTTGAGATTCTCTCTGTATATAAAAATTCCATTTTGTATACTTTTCTTGCATCGTTTTAAAGTCTAGTGCCGTCCTCCCTGCTCTTCTCTGTGGTTTACCATTGAGCTTAGGGCTATGAAAGCCACTGGAAGATGTCTTAAGCAGCTTTATAAGAAAACTGGCCTTACTGTATATTCTCTGGCCTATGGAGACCACGTGTACAAAGATGCTTTAAATAGGGCTCATTCTACTTATACATCTTTGGTGATCCACCGTAGCTCATGCCAGCCCAAGACCCTTTTCAACACTATTGACAAATTCCTGCAGCCCCCAGTAGTAGCTTCTTCTGGTTCAGTTAAATTATGCAATGAATTTGCTTACTTTTTTCAGCATAAAATTGACTCAATCTACCATCCACTTACTTCTGTCCATCAGTTCTTAAGACTTACCGATTATCTTTCATGTGCAATTTATTCAGGAGCTCTTAGTATACTGATGCTTCTTGATCTTAGATCCGCTTTTGTTACCATCTCATGATCTATTACTCTCTCATATGTGCAGCATTTGTATTACTGGATCTGCTCTTTGCTGACTTTCATATCATAGTGATAGACAGCAATATGTAGCTATTCAGAATCATAAATCCTCTACTGTGTCTGTTACTAAGGGTGTTCCCCAAGACTCAGTTTTAGGTCCATTACTCTTTGATTCACATGCTGCTGTTGCTTTTAATCGTTCAAAGGCACTGATATCTAGTACTTCTGTCCTTGTGTGGATTTCATTTTGGTAACCAAGCTTCACCTTGGTGAGCTTTGCATGCATGTAACCCATTTAGGCAGATTCCAGTATAGCTTGTTGTTTTACTTATATAACCATGACATATGCTTACAAGAGGTATATAGGAATGTAGTTTATAGTGCTATTTTTGACCCCACACAGTCCTTTGACATTCACATCAATTCTGTAGTTCAGACAGCACTTTTTTTTCCTGTTGTATCCTGATAATGCTGTTACCCGTATTCCATGTATACTTTAAGCTGTATTCTGTTCTCACCCATCAAAATAAATAAAAAAAATAATATCCCTTTGGACTTTGCACATGATCTTTTTGGTTGTATATTTTATTTTTTATGTGTGTTCGTGTATGAGAGAGAGAGAGAGAGAGAGAGAGAGAGAGAGAGAGAGAGAGAGAGAGAGAGAGAGAGAGAGAGACAGACAGACAGACAGACAGACACACACACACACACACACTATGGCCGATTCTGTAAGAGACAGACACACTATATGGACAAAAGAATGTCAACAGCCCTCCTAATTACTGAGTTCAGGTGTTTCAGCCACACTAATTGCTAACAGGTGTGTGAATAAGCACATAACCATGCGATCTCCATAGACAAACACTAGCAGTAGAATTGGTTGTGCTGAACAGTTAAGTGACTTTAATATGGTACTTAAATAGGATGCCACCTTTGCTGCAAGCCAGTTTACACACTTTTTGCCATGCTAGATCAATGTAATCGATGTCAACTGTAAGTGCTATTATTGTGATCTGGAAGCATCTAGTAGTGACAGCAGATCACAAACTCACAGAGCAAGCCTCTGGAAAAAACATCAGAACAAGAACTGTGCATTAGGAGTTTCATTAAATGGGTTTCCATGGCTGGGCAACTGAACATGAGCCTCCAAAGATCTTGTGGAAAGCCCTCCCAGAAGAGTGAAGGATCCCCATATTAAGGCCAATGTTTTCTGAAACGGGATGTCCAACAAGCTTAGGTAGATGTGAAGGTCAGGTGTCCACGTACCTCATGTTATAAGACTGAGTTATACATGCAAGACATGTTCTGAAGACAATTCTCTCAGAGCTGTTTAAGAGAGAGGCCTTCACCACTCGTCTGAGAGATTTCTTCTTTGAAACAAGAACTACGTATTGCCAAATCAATTTGTTACTAAGCAGAAATTAAACTAAAGCTGGTTGTTCTTTTTTGTGGGTTTGCCAAATGGTCTATAGGAGGTCAGACTGTTTTTCATTACAGGAACAGAAGCTACATCATACAAAATATTGCATTTGATTAAATTAATCTTCTTTTAAAAGTTTACTTAATCTGTATATATAATCTGTAACCAGTAGACGTTGATACCTCTACCACTGACAGACAAAAGAAATTTACATTGTGTTTTCGTCATGAGGATTTTATTCAGATAACAGAAATAAACAGCCTTTAGTACCGGGTTAGTGAGCCCCTGCTTCTCCTCTCCTCTTCTCATATGAGACAAAAGTCAAAAGGGAGCTACCTGAGCTTAGAGCAAAGTTAAAACCATAATTAATGATTCAGAAACAGTAGGTGATTAACCATAATAATAACTTGGCTTTGTGTGCAGATGAGACTGATGCAGACAGTAATGATGTCACTCTACTACATAATGAAATTATGCATGTTTGTTTAGCAGTGCTGTTCTGGGAGCTAGAGTCAATGAAGTAGGCAAAGGTAATATATACACTAGTGATGCAAAATGAATCAGCTATAATCATTTGTCATGTTAATTCCTTTTATAGCTGAGTATGTGTGTTGAGGTCATATTCA